ATGCTGAGAAGATAGTTGACTAGAAGATAAAAACTGTGCAATACAATAAGATGTGACAAAATTTGAAGACTATGGTAACTGAACGTCATAAACTTTTAGATATTTAGGCAATTCCTAGTTTTGTCACTTCTTTTAAGAGGCATAAAATCAGTAGGAATAGAAGAAAACTCAAAAAAAAAAAAACTAGATGAAGAAAAGTCAACTACAAAGTCAACAGGTCTATTGGAAATAAACTAATCAATTGAATTTAATGAAGAATTCAAAAAATTGGATGTTTTAGGTATATCTAAAGGAACAGAGGAAGATATTGAAGGTGTAGAAACATAAATAGGTGCATAAATAAAAGAAAAAACAACAATAGCATCCAAAAAATCAAGACTAGACTCATGCACATAAGATGTTTGATAAAAGGTATGATCATAGGAATTCTGCTTTAAAGAATGAAATGGAAAGACATGTTCATGAAAAATCACATTGCTTGATATGAAAACTTTGTTAGCAAGAAGATCATAAACCTTATAACATTTGACACTATTAGGATAACCTAGAATGAAATGGAAAGACATGTTCATGAAAAATCACATTGCTTGATATGAAAACTTTGTTAGCAAGAAGATCATAAACCTTATAACATTTGACACAATTAGGATAACCTAAAAATATGCATTTACTTGCTTGTTTATCAAATTTCTTCCTATGTTGACTAATAGCAAACATAAAATATAAACTACCAAAAACTCTAAGGTGATCATATGAAGGAGACTTTTTAAACAACAGTTCATAAGGTGTACAATTATGAAGAATTTTCCTAGGCATTCTGTTTATGACATGAGTAGTAGTGAGAATTGCATACCCCCAAAAATAAAGAGGAACTTGAGACTAGTATAATAAAGCCCTTGTGACAACTAAGATATGTTGATGTTTTCTTTCCACTCTACCATTTAGTTGAGGACTTTCAACACAAGTTAAATGATGAACACTCCCTGTTTTTGCATTGAAATTAGTGAGCTCAAACTTTTTTCCATTATCTGTTCTTAAAATTTTAATGCAAGTATTAAATTAAGTTTTGACAAATTTATGGAAATTGGAAATAATAGTTGAAACAATAGATTTACACTTCATTAAAAAAATCTAAGTAAAAGAAGAGAAATCATCAACCAAAGTAAGAACATATTTTTGACTTGAAATAGTAGGTATCTTATATGGACTTTATATGTTTGCATGAACAATTTCAAAAGGACTAACACTTATTTGTACATGAACAGGAAATGGCATTTTCCTTTGTTTAGCCATAGGACAAACTTCACAAAGTAAACTGTCAAAACTATGAACATCAGAACAATGTTTATTGATTACATTTATTCTTTTTAATGTTGCATGACCTAATCTAAAATGCCAAAGATCAAAATTAGGAAGCATAGCTATACAACATGAATGGAAAAAACATTGGCTGATGTTATGATCTTGTCAATACTATGTTTTGACAAAGCTTGTTCATCTACATTAACATGCATGAAGTGTAAACCTAAGATGACCTTAATTACCTTAATCACCTTCCATGAAACCAGATCCTGAACAACACATAAGTCATCAATGTGCCAAATATAGTTTTTCTTTGAATTAGTAAGTTGACTTATTGAAATGAGATTAAACTTAAAATTGGGAACACAAAAAACATTTGTTAAAATAAAAAATGGTGTAAGTTTAATAGTTTCTATATGAGAAACTAAGGCCTTAGCTTTGTTTGGAAGTTCAACAAAATAATCGAATACTGGTTTTGTAGAAACAAAATTATTCAAGGTATATAAGAAGATGATCTATTGCTTTAGTGTCTAGAATTGTGTTTAATCATGAGACTTGTCACATTTTGATACTTGGATGGAAGATTATTTTTAGTATTAAAACAAACATGACTAGAAATGATACTTGAAAAAGCAAAATTAACTAGGGAATGTTTGCCTTGCTGATTTGATGTAGGAATAGAGGTGGAAACAGAGACAGAACTATCTTTACCTTCATCAATGTTAAGACCACTCTCATTTAAAAGATTCATCAGCTTGTTTACATGTTGCTTAATAAGAAACATCTGAAACATGGTGTTATTTCCAACAGCCTTATTTTCTTGTGCAAATTGATTTTCTTTTACTGTTGCAAAATAATTCACTGACTTACCTTTAGTATAGGCATTTTTTCCTTTATTGAAATTAAAGTCTTCTGAAAATCTTATCAATCTGTGACATTTCTCCTTTGAATGAACCTTTTTTATTACAATGTGAACAAATTACCTCTTTTTTATATTTTTTTTCTTTTCATCTAATATCACTACTTTAGCGGTAGATTCTAAAATTGGTTGACCTTGTATCAGAAAATTTCTCTGTGTTTCTTCCTTCAGAATCAAATTATAAACCTTGTCCAAATTAGATATAGGATCTAACATTATGATTTGTGACCTTATAGCAGAATAGGAGTCATTAAGTCCATTTAAGAACCTAAAAACTATATCTTTCTAGTATTGGTCTGAGTATTTGTTAAAGCAACTAGGATTACACTTACCACACTCACATTATGATAGTGGTCTATTGTTCCTCATTTCTTCCTAAATACCTTACAATTCTATGAAATAAGTATCTATAGATTTTATTCTTTGAGTGACATTTCTTAGAGTAAATTGTAGATTGCAGACCCTAGTGTTATCAGGTTGTAAGAAATTTAGTTCAAAAGTACTTCAAATTTCAATAGCAGAATCCATATAAAATATGGTTGAAGCCATTCGTGGAGTGATTAATTCCAAGATCCAGGCTATAATTAAATTGTTGCATCTAGTCCACGAATTAAATAATGGATTCGTCACAAAAGGTTTACTAATGGTTCTATTGAGAAAACCTAGCTTATTCTTAATTGAGATAGCCGAGATAAAAGATTTGCTCCATGGAACATAGTTGTTCATACTAAGCTTAGGAGTTATAACAACTGAACTTAGGGTGATCCGAATGGTGCAAACATAAGGTGATTGTGGATATAAGGTTGGTGAAATTGTACTCTTAAAAATTGTGGTTTCCTCCATCGAAACTAAAATCTCAAGCTCAAAATAGAAAATCAAACAAATATTCCACAAATACTGAAATCTAATCAATTACCGATCAAATATAGGTGATTAAAAAATTCAAAATCCTTAACATGATTGGCTCTAATACCATGATAAAACTAGAGAAAGAGAGTCTAAAGAGATCGTGAAGTAAGTCAGTGAAGTGTAAATTGAATTCTTGTATTAATGAAATTAATACAAAATTTCTCAACTAATAGAAAGGATAGTTTTCATCTAAGTAACTAACAACTAACTTGAAGACTTACCACTACAATATAATAAAACTGTAACTACTAAAACTACATTAACCATTATAAATAATACACGTGTACACTTATTCTTTCAGTTTTCTAAACACAAGAGTTTCATCCTCTGGTTTAGCTAACTTTCAATACTCAGGAACTCTATTTTGAATTTAAATATCAACTTCAATATCTGATACCATGTGACTTCTAGTTTGCCAAGGATGATTTACATTGTAGCTCGATTGTAAGAGAGGAAGAATAAAGTGGGATTAGGGAAGGATTCGGGATGAACAGAAAATAAGTCTAAAAATTTATTCTTTGATTAATGCTATGTCAATAAATTTCATATAAATTTGATTCGATTCCATGTAAATAAGAGTAAGGATTGGGTGTTCCATTTTCAAATTTCAAAAGTCAAATTTATTAATTTTTTTATAAAAATAATGAAAGTTGACCAATTATTATAAAAATAAAAAATAATCAAATTTCACTTATAATTTCTCGATTGATTATTTCAATTTCAATGAATATTTTTAAGTATATTTTAAATATATTAATAATTTTTTATAAATATTATATATTTTAAAAATATATTATTCATGATATTTTTATTTATTCAATTATAAATTTTAATAAAAAAATTAACTGAAATAATCGAATAAATTATTTTTGAGTCAGATGCTTGGATGCTTATCTTAAAATACTTTAATCTTAGTTGATTAGGTATTTGAGTCTTACGGTAGATAAGACATCCATCACGGTCTGCTCTCACCCTTAGCGGAGCAGTTGCTTTTGAGGGTTGGACTAAATCCTTACGACTGAGTACGGACCTATTGAGGCTGTCCAAGCGGCAGCCATATAAATTAAATATAAATAAATAAAAATATTTATTTATTTATATAATTGTGTCAATCAAGGCTGCACCAGCAACAGCCTCGGGTTCATTTTTCGTTTTAAGATGTTTCCTTGTTCTCCGCCAAATCTGGCCGTGTGTCCTTGACGCATCCATTGGAAGAAACTCTGCTATATGTACATCGGGGTCAGGGCATCCAGTGGCTTTTTGCATCGGAGCTTTGAGTGGATCTCTTGTCAACTCTGTTACATTACATTTATTGAGTCATGGGTTTCTCTTGTGTTAAAATCAAATTCCCAGATCTTGTATTGTCACTTACCTCTCAAAACAATCTATTAGCCCACATAAAAGCCATTTTCATAGCAATTCTCTCTCAATTTCTTCTGCTTGGGCGAGCCTTTTTTTCATTTGGGTGTAGACACCCTGATTACCAAGTGGAGAGTAGGCCATCCCCTTCTTTAGTTCCAGTCCCTGTCTTTTCAATGGTCCAGTCTCTGAAGAACCAGCTTCCCGTTATGCAATATAGTTCCTTTGTCAAGAGAAGATCAGGAGCTTGTGTTGTCGATGACCATACCTGCTGCATTGTTTGCATGAATTTCGTTGACAGAAGCCACGAGGTCAGAGAGCTTGGCAGTTGTAACCACGTGTTTCACAGAGATTGCCTAGATGCTTGGATCGATCGTGGCAACATTACATGTCCCCTTTGCAAATCCAAGCTGTTACCTGCTCAGGGAAACAGTTCAAAATTCGGAAGCGATCCATGGAGAAAGGAAAGGATGATTTACCTGTTCGGCGACGATGAAATGATGGGTACATGTTGATACTGATTAATTTCTAAGCTACTAGGATATTCGAATAATTCATTGATAATCAACATCAGCTGAGGATGAAACTAACTCAGAGTCATGCGGTATCTTGCTCCTCAAAAGAATACCTCAATGGACAACACAGAAATTGGGAAATATTGTCATGCTTGGAATGGCGCATGACAGGAGTTTAGGACGTACTTGCCATTCTTTATTACCTACAGAACAGATGGAGGGGGTCCAAGGTTTAAATATGGACGATTTTATGTGCAGTGGTTGGTTTTGCTACGTACCTGCCGGCCGGTGACTGCCAGAAATTTCCTTTGAAACGTTTGCCTTTTCTTTTCAATGGGGCAATCACTCTCAAGTCTTACGGGCGGTGCGTGCCATTGACAAATAACAACCTACTTTATCTCATCATCCCTAACGATAATTGCTGGTAATGTTATGAAAGATTCTCTTCTGCTTTAGTTTTATTTACTGTGTTCGTGTTTCGCATGATTCCAATTATATGAGTTCCTATAGTGTACATATCAAAGCACTCTGATCACAACTCAGTAAGAATTAACATAATTGGTGCATTTTTATTAATTCATCAAAGCAACGGAGTTACGTATTATCAAATATATCTTGTAATAATATTTTTGAACATCTATTAAATGGAATCTCGACTTACTTATTTATTGATTTTTTAAAAATTTATTGATTCATATTAATGTATTTTGATTTTTTTTTACAAAAAAAATAAAATTTAACTATTAATTGCATTTAACGTATCATATGAATAAGTATTTAAAAAGACAATAGCATATGGGAAATTATTTCGAACTTTCTGCACGAGTTGGTTCCCTCTCGCTGAAAAACCGAAGAGTCGCGCAAGGCTTGAGCTGCATTAAACACCTAACTCAGAGCCCAATGTATTGCTTTGGGCCTAAAATGTCCAAAGGATATTATGTATGAGTAAGGCTCATTAAAGACTGAAAAATCGGTGGATCAATTTAACCCTGAGGCCTCACGTGGCAGAGGACCCGGGCTCTTCACAGCGGAGAAAGCAATATGAAACAGAATATCTGATCTCAAATTCCCCACGATTGCCCACCGCTTATTTCCCAAGACCTTAACCAACAAAACCAGACCGCCTTTGCTTGCACCAGTTTCGTTCCTTGTAATGGACCTGACCACCCCAATCGAACCATTGCAGCTCCTCTTCCTCCTGCTTGTGCATAAACGTAGCACCCCTCCCACAACAAGGCATCATTCTCAGTAACATGTCAAAGCCGCCTCAATCAATAAACAATGCCCAGAACAACACCAAATCCAACTTTTACCTTAACAAGCCTACTGCTACTCTCCCTGACATATTCCTGACTGCAATTTCTCTCCTTTTCCTCTTCTCTTCACCTAAAGCCAACCATACCTTTCTTCCAAAATTCCTTCCATTCCCTTCAAACCCACGCCGCTTTCTCAAAATTCCCACTATGTTCCACTCCAGGGTCCCCTTTGCATCCCAACAAGCTCTCTCTGATTGGCTCAAATCCCGGTTACCTTCCGACTCGTTAGCCACCTGGGGGTAAAACCGGGAACCAAAAACGTCCACAACCTCTGGCTGGAACTCTCCGAAGGCGAGACATCTCTCGTCGACTCCTTCCCTCCACTCCGTACAGTTAATGTCGTTACGGTTCGTATAATCGGCAAAGACAACCTTATCCTCATCGAATCTCGACAAGAATTGTCGGATGGTAGTGTCAGGGATCGGTTTAGACCATTGTCCGAGAAAATGAAGCCCCATGAAACCCCGGAAGAGGCCGTGACTCGTGCTGTAAGAGAAAGCTAGGTTCGGTTGTTGATTCTGGGGTCGTGAGGATTGTGCCAGGGTCTTATCAAAAGAAACTGGAGGAGCGAAATTCGGTGTCATATCCGGGTTTGCCGGCGCGTTATGTTTTGCTTTCGGTGGACGCGTGGGTGGAAGGTTTGCCTGAGGAAGATTTTTGTACTGAAGAAAAGGAAGAGTACGAGGATACCGATGGGACTAGGGGTTTGGAGAAAGCGGTGTCTGTAAGGAAGCATTACTGGAAATGGGTTAGTTCTGATTCGATTCATTCTTGAATTTCCACGAATAGATGCGGAAATTTAGTTGAATTATTTGGAAGTTTTAAGGGTTTATAGTTTTCTTCTTCTTTTTTTCTTCTTGTGGTTTGAAGCTTTTTTAGATGCTACGGATTTAAAGCACCTATTTTTTTGTAGTAATAAAGAATATTTGAACTTCGATATATAACAATATACATGAAAACGACAGAATTGTACTTCATTTTTGAGTTAATTTTCAAATGCAGAGCTTCATGTGTTGTTTCTATTTTCTGTGTATAGACCATTGCGGTTGTGCCAATTAAATTTATGAGGTCATATCAGTTTTTGATTGCATACAATAAGTTACAGTTGCGATTGTAGAGCCAAATTGTTTTCCTTCTGTTCTGATCTCACACGCATGCTTGGATTTTCGTTGAAAATCTTCTGAGTTCTAGATAGTGGACTGAGGGAGGGAGGTTTCTTTTAGAGTTTTAGTTTCCTTTGAACAATATAATGGAGTTTTTTTACTTCTTTCAACTGCTTGTGGAAAAGATTTTTAGCTTTAAGTTTCCAAGTGCCATAGAAGCTAAGATTGTTGAAGTAGTCAGCAGATATGACCTTTCAATACAGCAAGGATGTCAGCCAAATGCTAGTGTAGTTTTAGCAAAGAAATAATATGAGAGAGCTACCATATGCCCTTTCATGTGAATGTGAAGCATCAAATCCAGGATTGTTATCTAAATATTTAATTGCACAAAAAGAATTAATTTCTTATTGAGCAGGTTAAGTTTGAGTGAGCAGCTTCTTCTTTTTTCTTGGTTCCTGAGCTTGGGGGCCCTTGAGTCTTGATAAATATGAAAGTGTTAACTTAATAATGGATGATGGAGATGAATGGCAGTCACAAGTGTGCTATTTGCCAGTAAGTACTGGCTTGTCCACCATTGCACCGTGGATAACTAGAACCTAACTGCTAAACCTCCAGTTAAAATAGTTATTAATAGGAATACTAACATATTGACAATTCAGCACTCCATATTACTCTAGTTACTGCAATTTGGGGCCCCTATTACTGCCAATGGTCAAACACTGAGTGATAGACAAGCCAATGTTGCAAAACACAGTGAATTCTCTCTTCCCACAAGGATTTCAGAGGAGCTCTGCTGCAAGGTATCCTTATGTTTAAAGAGTTTGGGAAATAGGTTCTTTTGAGGCTTCTCATGAAAATTTGGAATGTTTTCCTTTTTAATTAGGAATTGATTTTGTAGCTGACAAGAAGAGAGTGAAGTTGGTAAACTGTTTCTTTTATTTAAACATTCAGACTGAGCATCTCTCACTCTTATGGAGCATAATTTTGATTGAAGAGTTTGGTATTGTTCTTAGGGAGTAGTATTTAAGAACTTATAGAGTGGCGTTTGGGGTTTTTTCGTTGGGAAGTTTACCAAATTCAGCCTCAAGACTTTGTTCTAAAAATGTGAACAGATGCTGGAGTTCTACTGAAGATTGTTTAAATTACATCTTTGACAAACTTTTCATTCTGGTTTCTGATTAGTTTTGCCTCTGATGTGAGAAAAGGATCTGAATGCAACATGGTCTTATGGTTTTGTTGGGATGACCTCTTGCCCCTCTGTAACCAGTTGTCAGCAGCATACATTGATTAGATCCACCAGATGCCAATAAGAAACCTTATTGCAAAGAGAAGTAGGTCAACTTAGAGGTGGAAAGTATAATATGGTTGAACTTGACACTTACTGTAGGGAGATCAAAAGCAAAATGCATAAGGCTCGTGAAGTTTCGGAGCAATTTCGTGGTTCAGATTGTTAGAAGTGATCAGGTGAGAAATCACTAGGCTTTGATATCCTTAAAAAGTTTGGTCACTTTCTGCTTTTCCTGAGAGCACTGATAGTGAGTGGGTTTTGTCTGTATTATACATTTTTCGCTGTAGAAATCAATTATTAGTAGCAAAATAGGTGCAATCAAACAACGAGTTCATCTAGCTCACATGCCAATAACGTTCCATCTCTCCCCTTTATAAAAGAAGCAGTTTACATATAAAGGGCTGGCACTTTCTTTCTCCTTCTACCACGTTTTTCTCTTTATTTATTTTACGCCTCAAATGGCGTGAGGCATCCTCCCTTCCTTCTCCTATCTAGAGTAGGATGTTTTGCCTGTATAGAAAAGAGCCGGTAAATGAGCTGGGGAATTTTGGAAGAAAAATATAAGGAAAAAAGGATAATATGCTCGCAGAATATACCCGTATTTGTTCTGGATTAAAAAGCTTTACTGCATTGTAATTGTTCAGTAGGGATGCCTTTTGACTGTTTGTCTGCAATTAGGAAAAAAAGAATATATCGTAACTTTGTTACTGAGCAGGAATGGAAGGAATAATGAACCTGCTTCTGGATTTTACACGTTCTTTCAGTATATTCAAGTATTCATTTAACTGGATATGCAAAGAATAGAAAGAAAAGATCCAATAGGCAAAAGGGACCCAGCAGGTGTGGGCTAGCGGCTATGTGAGTGGTCTAAGATAGCCACTATGAATCGTCTATAATTATTAAAGGTTAAGGATTTACATGACCAACAAAGCAACCTATTTCTGGCCTTTTGCAGCCCTTTTTCTTTCCGATTAGAATCTCGTCCTCCACCTCTATTCTGCTTCTCTTTCTACCTGCTCGGAGGAGCAAAGCTGAAGCGATCCCCCCCCTCATCCTTCCACTATAAAAGAAGCTATGCATCTTCTTTTTCATTCTCCACCAAGCACGTGCAAAGCAAAATCAGGCCAGAATGATAACAAGTAGAAGATAAGATAAAGATGCACATTCTAAATAAGCTTTTCATTATCACTTGCTATATTACAATCTCTTAAGTTTAGTTTTCAGAACACAACACATAAAACAGTGAAAAGTATAGACCATCAAGCTGATACAAGCTACCATTTCAAAGATAGACCTATGATAACTGCTAGAAGCATGTTAGTTAACATCATATCACAAAGCAGTGGAACAGTGAGTCCCTTGATTTGAACTCAGTGGACCTGTTGGGACAGTAGGTCCAAAAGGCATAACAGAAATACAGTTCACGTTGAACTGATATCGGCCAGAAACCCAAGTCCCAACCTTCCACCTAAGCTTTCCGTTTACCTTCAGGTTCAGGACTATTCTTCCAGCAGTCTGATCACGTCCAACTTCGTAACCAAAGGATGAAGCCACTGGCAGCCCTTTTCCCTCTAAAGATGCTGTTAACAGGTTGCTCTCTTCATATCCTTGGTAGAAAGGAGGAAGAGAGGTATCAACAGTAATCTGTTGCCCTTTATATGCAGCATAAGCTTGCAACTTGTCGTAGTAAATGCCAACCTTTTTATTTGGATTTTTGGAGAGCAGGGTGAGTTGGATGGAAGAGTTGAGAAGGTGAGGGCCTGAAAGATTGAGTTGGTAGATATCTGCTTCTCTGAGGGAGAACTGAGGTTTTGAAGGGTGAAGGATAAGCCAGATGAGGAATATGAAGGCTAAAATTGTGCTGAAAAATGCAGAGAAGGCCAAAAATAGTTTCTTGTAGGACTTGTCAATGCTTAGTCCTTGCTTGGCACAGTGTTTGGGAGATTTTGAGAGGACTTGAGACATTTGCAAGAGGGAGAACTGAGAAGAGAGACACAGAGAGAGAGAGAGAGAGAGAGAGAGAGAGAGAGGGGAAGAGGGAGAAGGCTTACGAGGCTAGGAAAGGGAGACGATGGGCTTAATAAAGGGAGAAATTGGAAACGGAAAGCAGCAATTATTTGGCTCTCATACTTTTTGACTGGCAGCTGCTCTCCTGGTGGTGGGAAGTAGCCAATAGATATTCATGACTTGCTAACTTCTCAATGCACCTTTAAAATCTATGTTTGTAAGTTGAATTAAAATGCCAACGATATACCTCCAACCACTGGATCTGTAGACTTTCCTCCTTAGTCCTTGCTTTGGTCTCTTGTGGATGTAGCACATCTAAATCTGATGGGATGGTCACACACAATTACCAACTGTGATGGAGCTTAAGTGCTTAACCTTTTCCCAAAAGCAAATGAGGTAGCTACATTTGGTACTTTATTTACTTGCAAATATAATTATATTCATTTCATAAGCCCTCATTGATAGATGATTGCTTCCACAATAGAATATGGGAAACAAGCATCTATAATTGTTAGTATTTCATTTATAGAAAGCATGTTTGCAATGCTCAACATAAATTTGTTTCGCTGTAAATGATGAAACACAAAATGAAGGTGTCTATAAATTTGATGGATGATCTTGAACAACTTAGCATTCCATTAGATCATTAATAACTGGAACGAGGAAGCCTACAGCAACTAACTCGCCTATCTGGTAATTTTTCTGCATTGCCCTACTTTTTCAGTACTTTGCAGAGCCAAAAGACTTATGCTTGGTGATTACTGATTACCAGCTGTACCCACAAACATAGTACAAATTGCACTCATTCATGGGTGCTCAATATATCATGGGTCCCAAGATCCCCCATTAGGATTTAGGACCCCTTCTCTCAAATCGTGAATACGCATGCATCGTATTGTCACGGAGAACCCATACAACAGGCTTGAATTACAAGTTTTATACGCTGATACTTTACAAGAAGATATGTTTTGGTGTATGCAAACATGATGACTGAGAGGGGGAGGATGCGGGGATATCTTTTTTTAGCTTTCTCAACCAGAATCTGGCTTTTAGAATAATTGAAAGGAAAGTAAGGTTGTCAAAAGGAGCTTTAAAGAGAGAGTAGCCATAGCCTTTCTGGTTGATTGGATGTAAGTGAAACGCAGGGCAGTGGTCTCGTGGCATGCCATCTTCATTTCCTCCTCCCTTTCTCTCTTCATTAGCCACCTTGCTTAGTGAAAGCAAAATGATTTTGCTTCCAACAATGAGTTTTTGAAATAAGATAATAAGACATTAGCAGTACATAAGGATGTAGCTTTGAAGTTGTACTTGAAAAGTTTCTTATATTATTGAACTGTGCACAAAGGGGTTTAAAAGAAGAGAGTGAGACATGAAGAATCTGACTTTTTGGAAATAATCGGGAATGATCCTAATGATTTTTGGGTGTCTTTATGTAGCCGCTAAGAAAACAAATTCATAAAAATTTGACCCTCCTCTATGTCAGCCGTGGATTTTTGGCACAGATCAGCCTCATTAATCAGTCAAGTTTGTTAGATATATAAGCCAAGGGACCCACCCCCCTACTCCTAATCAGGATCTTCGAGAGGAATATTACAGTCTGGGATTGCTGAGACGTTTGAAATTATACAAAAGAGTTGGTTCACTTTAAAATAACTTGTTCAGGTTTTGAGCCCTTCAATCAAGAGAAAGCTGGATGACCCCATCACTGTTGACTCTTGAGTCTCATTATTTTCATTATGTTCTCATCTTTTCCCAAATTTGATAATTTTTCTTGGCTCTGGGGCCAAAATTAGGCCCGATCATGTCTCTCATTATAACAGGAAAAAAAAGTTCTTAAAACTTTTTCATTTCTTTGATTTCTATGGAGATAAACATGCGTTGATGATAGATGATAGTGGGCAGGCTAAACTGATTTTTTGTTTTGGTGGGGTGTCGTGGGAGAGTGGTGGCGGCAGGATTTCATAAAGTGAATGTGACTTCATTAAAAAGCTAATATAATTCGATTGTCCTGTTCTATTCATTGCTTGATCAATTTAGAGTTGTATACAAACAACCAAACTCAGACAAGAGCAAGAGCCAAAACAGGGGAAAGCGCATGAAAGTGGCTACTTGGATTACTGACATTTGATCTCCTTCTTTCGGTTTTGGACTGAAGGGCTGGTCATTATCGGTCTCAAATTAATATATTTTGGGGATCATACGCTCACTGCTACATCATAGTTTGTATTAGTAATCAACCTGGGGTTTCCATTAAATCGGCATCATGAATCAGCTTAATCAGCGGTGATCAAGAGCAAGCAAGATTTCAGATTCTATCATTGGTGGGCCACCATGGCGTTTCCACCCGAGAAACAGGTGAATCAAACTCTGCTTCACTGCAACCAAAAACCAAGGCAGCACCCTATGAATTCAATTGGTTTCAAGCATCCTGGATTTTTCCACATCCATGACAACATGGGATAATCGGAAATTGGGAATACATCCCAGAGTTTTCCAGGTCCAGAAGCATCCATTACAAATTGGGAAACACCAAGTTGAAAATATTTCTAGCAATAGATTTTTGTTATGATGGAAAGTCCATCCTATGCCATAAAGGAAGAAAGCACAATGTTTTGTTTTGATAGTTTGAAACTCATGTGTTTGTGTTGTGATGTGAATCGGCTGTCAATTCACATGTATATCATGTCTTAGCAAAAGACAGTAGATTGGAAAATGTTATTACAAGCTATATTAGCCATCCTGGCAGCGCCAGGAAACAAGAGTGCTAGGGAGATGCATTTGCTAAATCAACAATTTCAATCAAATGTGGATGAAGTCTGTTGCCAAAGTTTAATTTTAAACAAATATATAACCTATTTTCACTAAGAACCCCATCAACAATTTTAATATTCTTATGGTTCAAACACTTCCAAGGACAGAGTAGGCCTGTTCCCCTTTTTTTTTTGAAAAGCAAATGACAGATTCATTAAGAGAAGAAGGGAAAGAATTCCCCAAAAGAGAGACAACTGCCTCCAAAAAACATCCCAGAGACGACTACCTATTTCTAAAATTTATCAGTGGTGATGCCTGAGTCACAAGACAGAATTGCTCTGAAACTTGGCATTTTCAATTGAATATTCATGCTTTCCAATCCTCCCAGGACATAATTTACGAAAAATAAAATAAAAGATATGTTTATATTTTGGAAAATCAAGATTGAGATAACCTTGTCTGCTGTACTCCCGCGTAAGAAAATTGAGATTACACTTCATTTATATTTACACTACGTTTGTAAGGTAATTGCAACTGGCACGTACGACGGTTGAATAAACGATTCTACAAGGTAACAAATAAAGAATGACTCAGGCAACCCCATTAACGAACAGGGAAAAAGAACTCCGAACTAAAAGATCAAAATATTATATTTTACAATAAGTACATAGATACCTGTGTTAATAACCACTAATATAATGAGTATGGATATGTGTAAAAGCATCCTTGGAATTCCACCTCCACTTTGTTTCTTCAGCTTTCACAAAATAAGAGGCTGAAATAGCCTATGCCACCGTTTCTAAAGATCCAAGCAAATTTGACACCATGCTCTCCTTAGTTTAGAAAGTTGTAACTAGCCATCAGATGAATTGCCATAATGACACTCAGCTTCGGTATGCATAGGATCAGCCTGCACTTGACGGACAAATTGACCTTTTACTCTTGGGCGCTGCTCTGCAAGTTTCTTCCTGCTCTCATATCGGACCTGTAAAATATTCAAATGTAAAATGTTAGCTGCTTCCAAGTTGCTGAATCTATGAGAATTTGATCTGTACATGATTCTACATTTTACTTTGCAATTTGGTAGCACCAGGCAATTACTCATGCAAATGGATCTTAGAAATATTATTTCTGTATGCACAGTAGTGTAACAGTAAGCACATAACCACAAAACGATAGCAACGGATTATAATTCCATACCTTTTTCTCATAGCATCTATCCTTCCGCTTCAAGCGAAACTTGGTTAGAGCTGCTTCTCTTTGGATAGATCGGCGTGAATTTCCACCAGGACTGAGAAAACTATCATCATTCTTGCTCTCTGGGGGAGCTCGGATGACAGCAACCTGATCAACATTGCCATTACTTGCACCAGTGCTACCATATGCAATACTATTAAGTTGACTTAAGGAGCCATTACAGAAGCTGCTATTTGCACTCTGATCAGTGGTAGGAGAAATATGTCCTCTATCCTCAATTGAATCCAATTTTTGATCCAGCTTGTGCAAAGGTTGGTTGGTCGACTTGTTTGTTTTGGAGCCAAGTTGGTCATACAACTGTCCAGAGTTGTTAGTTTCAAAACTGGAATGACGAAATAGATTCACACAAAAGGCAGGTTCTTGTTCGTTGGCTGAGCTTGGACTTGGCACTGGAGATGAACCTGACTGTGGACAAAAGATTGGAGGAATTACAGAATTATAGCCATCGCACAGGTTATTCAATCTTATACCCTTCACTGGTACTGGGACAGGAAATACTCTCTGTGGCGTGCATGACACTGGTACTTCAGTTTGCTTCCGTTTACCAGTAGCTCCAGTAGTCAAAGGGATCATGCTTCTTTGAGAAGTTAGTGTGGGACTACGAGTATCTGAGTTATATTCAGAAATAACATTGGACAACATCTTCTCAGAATTAGTCCCAGATTCTTTCTTTTGATCTCTGACACTTGTCACTGTTGAATGCAGGGGCTGTGATACTCTGCTAGTGTACCTGCGTTAAGAATCATTGGTATGATTAACAACTAAAAATGCAATTATAAAAAGCAACACATGAAAAAGCTAAATCGGATTCAATACTTCAAAAACTTTTAAGTTACTGTGCTGAATCCCAAGATGATAATGACAACTACTATGAAAACCAACCTTGTAAAGGCTGATGAATTAGGATGCCAGAGCGTAGGCCTTTCTTGAGTAACATGATTCTCAAAAACATTAAGATTACATCTTCTCAAGGAAAGATCCAAGTGTGGAGAAGAATCACACTTGCTTGTGCTATTGATTGAAGAAGAATTGCAATTTCTATTAAATGCTCCCATGAAGTCAATAGCTTCTCTTGGTGAATCGATGAAAGC